AAATGCGTACGACAAATTTGAGAGAAAATCCGTATTCTCGAAACGAAATTGTCGTAACTTTTGCGCAGGTTACGACAGAATCCTACGACAGCTCCGAACCTGTCTTACGCACTTTCTACGATCAAATTAACATGGCCGACAACCTCGCTCAGTTACGCGGTCGCGACTACCAACGCACATTTATTTTTCTATCTGCTCTTCTTGTGCGTCCTGACTTCAAGCAGCAAGAAAAAAATGAAGAAGTGCTTGAAACCGACCACGACGAACATGAACGCTGGATCCACAGACACCCGGAAACGGCAACAAAGGCAACGATCCCACCGACCAAGCGAGCTCAGCAGAATATATAGGCCTAGCAGACACTCCGACCCGTTCCGGCGCAGCATTGCTCAGACGGTCCTTGGCCAAGACCGTCTGCCCACGACCGGCTGGCTTGCTGAATGGAATTCGCGACTCCAACTAACTATAGGTGGCGCCACTCATTTTCCAAGATGGCGGGTTTAGTGAGGGTCAGAGATGCGTGCCGCTGTTGAGCCTGTCTAGTGTGCTGGCTTCACTGAGCGACATAAATTATTTCTGGTAATACGAGGAAGCTAATGTTTTATGAGCGCAGGTCACCTTTTTAACCTGAAAACAAGAACGGTGTTTAGCGCGTTAATTACGGAAGCATGCGCGTTTTAATGCTGGATCGAAACCGAAACTTACCTCTATTTTGGATTTCATTTCTCGACAGAGGTCTTAATTTCGGATTCTTGCATGACTCAAGATGTGTCTCACATCGTAATTATTTACTTAGAAAAGTTGTTCGCGGAAACTTTATTTTGTGACATACTGTTCGGTCCAGGCTGATATTCGTAGTTGTTGAAAAAATCAGTGCTGATATCTGTGCGTTTTCGCTGCCTTTTTCTCGCTCAGATAATTGTCAACGGAAATAATGAAAATTACCCAGCACAAGAATAAGAGAATAATTCCAACTTTTACATTATGTCCATGAAACGCATAAACTAATAAACGCTGCTCTCACTGCAACAACCCAAGACGGAATCCGAGTCGGACAGCTGAAGTGTGTGTGTGTGTTTTTATAGCACCGCGTAACGCGTAGGACTTCATATTACATCCAGCGTTTAGCTGTTTATCTATCTTGATGACTATGTCAGAGTGTTTCATATGCTAAAAAGAAAACGGAATTATACCTTTCTGGAAAGACTATTATGGTTAAATAGAGTATTCTCGTGATCTTGGCGTTAATTAGAAAAATACATTGCCGCGATTTGTATTAATAATAATAATATTAAAATTCACATATTTGAATAAGTATTCTTCAAGCTCTAACATAATTTGTTGCTTATTATCTAATTTTAAACGCGCGAAGAAATATTACAATGAAAACTGTGCTAATTATCATCACTGGTTCCAATTGCCGCATTTTAATTACAAATAAATAAAAAAATAATCTAAAATCAGTGAAAACATTCTAGCTAATGTGAGAAATCCATGTATAATTACATTAATTGTGGGTAAAGTATATTGTGCTTTCCAGTTCGAAGGAACGCCTACCTGCTTGCACGTTTGCTCACTGCAGCACGTTTCGTTGGCGTTGGAAGCCGGTGAAACAGTAGTGAGTTTTAACATTGCGTATACGAGCGAACTCAAGCCCTGTGTGTTTGCGTTAGCTTTGCGCGTTCCACACTGCGCGTGCGCGGAGCCCGAAATCGCGGTCTTGGATGGCGCATGGTGATGAGGCGCACGCACAACGTGGGGCCCGCAACTCTAACGCAAACGCACACCGCTGGCGTTTGCTTCTATGCGCAATACAAAAGCTCTCCAGTAAGGTACAATCCCATACCGGCTGCAGCACTACGTTGGGCCAGTGAAGAGTGTTGTTTGCATTCGGAAACGACATTTCGCGAGCCATGATCGCGAGCAGTTCTCCATGCCCGCTGAGCAGGAGAATCGGGGGACCCTCACTAGCGCGCTTCCCGTTTCCGCCGCTGGAGGGCGAGCGTCGAGCTGGAGACGCGAATATGCCCGCGCGACCCTTGTGGACCCTCCCCGTATGAATAGTTTGATAGCTGAACTAAATTTCAGAGGTCAACCTATTCCCCTTATCATCTCGATCACCTTGTTTTCCGAGGCAGCGGTGACGAACGCTGTCGTCGAAAAGGGACTCCTCGATTCTATCTCCTTGTTTTGTGTGATATAGAGCTCAAATAAACGCCGTATGGATTACCTTCGCAACACGGTATGTACACTTTGTTATTAGTATGCCCTTTTTAACTGTCGAGCTATATCAGTTCGTGGGAGCTACGCGATGCCGGTCCAACCTTTTTTTGCCGAGTGTCACGTCAGTATCGAGTTGCAATCGTAGAAGATCGGTCCCGAAGCGCTTACCGAAACGCAGTCTCAATCCAGCACTTCGATCAAACGCACGCGTCCGCTCCAAGTGTGAACAGGTATTTGCGTGACTCTTGCTGACACTCTCGTAGTTCAAACGTATCTTTTTTAACGTCGGCTCACTCCTGCATTTCCGAGGCCGCGAGAAACGCCGCGGCGGTTTGTTTCCATCTACGTCGCTTTGCAAACGACTGGCACGGGGCTTTTATTAACGATGACAGCTGTGTTGACTTCGTAGCGATCGAGTTTGTAGCAGTCAACGAAGCGTTTAAATCGTGTTAGCGTCGATATACCACTGCGCGGACACGAACCCCAGACAAGCGGTGGTGGAAAGGCCAACCGTGTTTATGAGATTCAGCTTGAACACTAAGCATTTACACACAGACAGGACAGGACATGCACAGAGCTGTCTATCAACGAGTGGTTAGCCTGTGTTTGTTATTAAAAATCCACGTGCTCCGAACTATGCCGAGCTCTCTAATTGGTTGTTCGTTTTGCCGAAGACGCCGTTGCCATAGCAACAGCACCGGAAGTCATCGTTTCTCCGAAAGAGGTCGTAACTTTCCTGCTCTCACTTAAGAACGCGTTTGTGAATACCGTTCTCGCCTCATCTTACGATGATCGTAACTTTACGAACTTCGTAGCTAAGTTGTCGTAGGTAAGAGGTTTTTTTTATGAATCTGGCCTCTGTTTCTTACCTCCTTGCGCGCGGCGCCAGGCGAACCCAAAGTCCAGACTGCGCTGTGCAAAAAAAAAAAAAAAAAAAAGAAGCTCCTTTTCATGTTTTTTTTCTTGCTTCCGTTGGATCTTTGCCAATTTTTTTAACGCCTTTTGCAAGGCTTTTTGTTCGCCCACGCTGCCCATGCATTCGCGACCTCGCTGCACCAGGATAGAAAAGTGCGTTCCTTTCGCGCGCGGGGGAGGGAGGGGGTCAAAATTTTGACGTCCGAGTTGGGGGTGCGTTTATTACGCGGGTGAAAAAAAAAGTCGAAATTTTGAGAGCCGACTTGGGGGGTGCGTTCATTACGCGAGTGCGTTCATTGTGCGAGTAAATACGTAGTCTAAGTCTAGTCATAAAAAAAGAGTTTTCGATCCGCTGGCGGGGCCGGTGTGAAGGAGAGAGCGGCTGGGACATCTACCAAACCGACTGATCTCCGCCCCTTAGCGATTTTGGGGACAATAAAGTGCGCCCTATTGAACACGTTTGCAAAAAACAAAAAAAAAAAACAATATGTTTTATTCATCTTTGGTCGAGAAAATAGGCAAAGTAATTAAACAGCCTAACCAACACACCATTGCTTTGGGTGTATGGGGGAGCTCTTATTTCTTGAACAGAGAAGGCCTCACTACACACAGGTAAAACATAGATTATGGGACATTTTCGGAGAAAAAGTAAAGTCACCAAATGACATATCACTAATATTCACAAATTGCAGAACATATCAGAATTTCTTAACCCAATTCATGGGTCATCCTTTTACATTGCACGACGGCGTAATTTATGACTAGAAGTAATAATATAATATCAAGCAATGCACCGGCATACTTACCTGCAGACAAACATTCTGCATTTATCTTTCTGAGCAATTAAACAAAAACAGACAGAGATATAAACTCAGCTAAATTAATAAATAAATTAATAGAAATAGGAACTGGAGAACGAACAGAACACGAACGCAAACTGCTTCAGTTGCACTACTAAGCGGCCGATGCACTATGTAACATCATCGGTAAAGAGTAGTAATAACCCACTGCGAACAACAAACACCCCATTGCCTAATGCCGCATCATACAGTCCGTTGTTTAATGTGAGGATTTCGCTGATGTGGAGAACGTGTTCATTTGTACACTTGATCTGCTACTGAATTCGTCGGTGACGTCATTTAGCTTATTTTGCGGGAGAGTTGTGAGTGTGAAGAAGTGCCAGGGGATTTAGTCGAGTTTGCATTATTGTCGACCGTAAATAGGTTTGGAGTCGCCGCAGACAAGAAAATGACCTCTCTGAGGTGCATGACGTGACTGGTATGGCCAACGCAATTTTTATTAACTTGGCTATTTCCGGCAAAAGATTCCTGAGGTGCTGACCTTTGTCGCCCGAAAATATCTGCGCTACGTCTTGGAATGTCTGTAAGGGTGCAGAGTTGTCCAGCTTTACAATATCTGTCAGCATGTCTCTGTGTAGTAACAGGCGTCCTGGTTCTAGATCGTCTCCGTAGAATTTCTTGACATACGTGAGATCTTCATTGCCTATGCAAACTGTTTGATGTGTACCATATGACGCCACACGCTAGGCGGATACCCGTTCCTCAGTGACGACAGCGCGGTGTCAAACACTTCGTTTTTCCGCCGGTGGTACATGTGTACGTCGCCGTCGCCGATGGAAATACACGAGCAGGGGCCCTAAGCTGGACGGCGGCGAGAAGCGGCGAGAAAACTCGCCGAGGCGCCGACCGCCGTGATTGGTCGGCGCCGCGACTGACCTTGGAGCCGGCAACCCCCTAGACACTGACGTCACCGTGGCGCGGACAGAGTCGCCCAACTTGAAAACGCAATCTCGCCGGCGTATTCCCCGTGGCGTCATAGTGATGTCACGGTGACTCGCCGCGAGTTCGGAAAGCGCGCCCGGTTGGAGAGGGGCGAGCAGTGGCGAGATCGAGCGAGTAGCGAAGATGGCGGCGTACGAGTTGCTGTACTTGTGGTTTCGCCGACGACGGCGTTTTTTCACGCACGTCGACGCGTTTGTTATGGACGACGACGAGTTCCGCCGGCACTACCGATTGTCTAAGAACATCGTGCGGTGGCTCTGCGACGAACTTCGAGACGACGCGGCCTTGAGGCGGCAGCGACGCGCAAGGACGGTGATGACGGTGGAGCAGCAGGTGCTTTGTGCGCTGCGATTCTACGCCACCGGAAGCTACCAGGGGCAAGTGGCCAGCGACCGGCACCTCGCTGTTCACCAGACCACCGTCAGCGCATGTGTTCGCGCCGTGTCTACAGCCATCGTGCGCCGCCTCGGTCCCCGGTGGATCGCCTTCCCCGAGACCGCGGAGGAACGGGCGGCGACGCAAAAAGCCTTCCTTCGTCGCGGTTCCTTGCCCGGAGTCGTCGGGTGCGTCGACGGCACCTTCGTCGCCATCAAGGGACCCTCTAAGTACGACCCTACCGTGACGAAGGCGCTCTACTGGTGTAGAAAACAGTACTACGCCCTGAACGTCATGGTGGTAAGTACACTATAATTTCCAGTTCGCGTTGATCCCAGACGCACACGAAGTGAATACCAAATCGTATTTACGCCGATAGAGTTAGGTCTCGTATAAAACGAATATCTGAAGTTGGAGCATAACTTAGTGGGAAGGTGTCCGCCTGTCACGGAGCGGACCCGGGTTCAATCCAGAAAGTGGACATACTGTTTTGGCGATGTTTAAGACATTTCATTTTTTACAAATATAGGTGAAAAAAAAAAGTTGTCGACGAAACTTTGCTGAATTAAATGGTATGGGACTCCCTTTCCGGAGGCGTGTAATGACGGACAACGGGGCTTGAGTTGCCGGCTGGACACCGCGAAGCGGCGTGTACGGGGGACGAACTGGGTTGATAGTTTTGTAATGAGTAGCCATAGACTGGTCGCTGCTAAGTGGAGTGAACGCAAGGGGGAGGGGGGGGGGGGTTGGTCGGGGTGGTCGGGTTGGTTAACACGTTTCACAGTGATACACGCGCCGTCCGAAAAGGGTGACCCAAATGGCATGATCCCTCCGCGTCGTGCGTATGGCCATCTCCGGTCAAGGTGCACGACGCCGTGCTATTATAGCCTTACTCTTTTTCGTAAGTTTTTTGGCCAGGGACATTCCCGAGTCGAATATGTTCGTGCCTCCGGTAGGCGCAGTGGCGTAGCCAGGAATTTTTTTCAATAGGGAAGGGGGGGAGGTGCTTGGGATGTCCATGACTTGGGGGGCGGAGCGGTGGAAGGCTCTAAATGTATGTGTATAGTATAGGGTCGGCTGGGGGGGAACGTGCTGAAATCCCAAAAGCCTCCCTCCTGGCTATGCCACTGGGTTGACCTGGTGCTATTCAAACTTGTCGAGGAACACTTGTATGACAAGAAAGCGACCTGTAAAAATTGAGAAATGTATGCGACAACTGTACAAAATGTGCGCCAGCATCTGTCCTACCTCCCTCTGAGTGCCCTCTTTATTCTAGGTGTCTGACGCCGACCTGCGTATCCTGGCCATCGACCCAAGGATGCCCGGCTCAACCCACGACTCATATGTGTGGAGGCGTTCGTGGGTGCGCCAAGAGTGCGTTGCTGGCCATCTTGTCAGGCACAATGAGTACCTGCTTGGTGAGTGATCTTAACTCAGCACCGTGAAGGCCCGTTCAGACACTTGCTGCCAAGTATGACCAAATGAGACAAGACCGGTTTTTAAGCGTCTTACTACCGGATGCGTTGCTGCGGAGCTAGTCGTAAGCCATCACAAGAGGCTTAAAAACCGGTCTTGTCTCAGTCGGTTGTAGTTAAACGCAAGTGTGTGGACAGGCCTTAATGTTTCAGTCAAAGGCGACCACCATTTAAGTCAAGTCAAGGTTTGTGGAGAAATTTTAGTGCTTGAGATACAGGATTAGAACATGCATTAGCAGTTTCAAAGTATCTTTGTTATGAAGCACATACTTTTCACTAATAGGGAGTTTTAGTAGAGCATTCTATACCTCCAAGAACGACACACTATAGATCGATACGACGCACGCACAAAGGCGTCAGCAAACTACTGGGTATTGTTTTCGGACTTACTGCAGCAATTGATTAAAACTAAATAATACCCGTTGATTGGTTGTTGTGAAAGCATTCTCCTCAAATGATACGAGTGAGGGACTATATACATGATCAGTAGCACTTGTGCAAAGTGTAGGGAGTGGTTCAGATGTCTAAGGAGCAGTCATACTTCTTTCCATGCAGGCGAGAGTGGGTACCCCCTGGAGCCCTGGCTGATGACTCCTGTGCCTGGGCGGCCAGCACTTGGCACACCGACTGGGGAATACAATCAGGCCCATGCCTCCATGAGGGCAGTCGTGGAGCGCTGCATCGGGCTGCTGAAGAGCAGGTTCCGGTGCTTGCACAGGCACCGGACCCTTTACCATCATCCGAAGATCGCCGGCACGATCGTGGCAGCCTGTGCGGTGCTCCACAATGTTTGCCTCTGCTCAGGGGAGGCCGAGCCAGAGCCACAGTCAGACTCAGACAGCAGTTCTGACGAGGACAGTGATGAAGAAGAAAGCGCTGACGCAGCTCGCGAGCGGAGAGGCCTCCAGTCGAGGCGTCTTTACAGTCAGGGCAAGGCTGTGCGGGACCGCCTTGTGCTTCTGCCGAGCACAACCCACCTGCAACGCGTCCGTGAACGACTGCGTCGCACCCGTCGTCGCCGCCAGCACCAGTGATGCACTGTAACTTGTCGCCGGGGCCTCTTTGAATTGTGTGTGTGCGTGTGTGTTTGTACAGTGGCGTGGATGTTGTGCCGAAGCCATTTTGGACTTCGTGTGCGCTTATGTACAGTGATGTGGATGTGCCAGAGTCATCTTGTACCTTCTTTGTGCATGTGTACAGTGTGGTGGGTGTTATGCCAGAGCCATTTTGGACTCTGTGTGTGTGTGTGCTGCGCCGTGGATGTGCCGAAGCCATTTTGGACTTCGTGTGCGCTTGTGTACAGTGATGTGGATGTGCCAAGTCATCTTGTACCTTCACCTTCTTTGTGCATGTGTATAGTGTGGTGGCTGTTATGCCAGAGCCATTTTGGACTCTGTGTGTGTGTGTGCTGCGCCGTGGATGTGCCGAAGCCATTTTGGAGCTTGTGTCAGTGTGTACAGTGCTGTGGATGTTTTGCCGGAGAGAGCTTGTTTGGACTCTGTGTGTGTGCATAGGGAAGGTGTTTTGATGTTTCGGGTGTAAGTACCACAGGCTTGGATGCATGTGCACGTGTAGTGCTTTTGAATTCTGTTCAGTGCTTTGGGCACAAACTCCACAGGTCTGGATTGCGTGGGGTACGTGTAGTGGTTTTTTACTTCTTTTCAATGTTTTGAGTGCATGCTCCACAGGTGTGGATTGCATGAGGCACATGTAGCATTTTTTACTTGTGTTCAATCTTTTGGGCACAAACTCCTCAGGTCTAACTTGCGTGTAAGCTTGTAGTGCTTTTGACTTGTATTCATTGTTTTCGGTGCAAGCTCCGCAGGTCAGGATTGCATGTGCACGTGTAGCGCTTTTGAATTCTGTCCTATGCTTTGGGTGCAAACTCCACAGGCCTGGATGCAAGTACACGTGTAGTACTTTTGAATTGTATCTATTGTTTTGGGTGCAAGCTTCACAGGTCTGGATTGCATGGACACGTGTAGTGCTTCCAACTTGTGTTTAATGTTTTGGTCGCAAGCTCCACAGGTTCCTGGATTGCATGGGCACTTGTAATGCTTTTGATTTCTGCTGTGGCACTTGCAGCTTTTTTCTGGAGATCGGCTGATGAAGGTTCCTGACACAGTAATGACAGGACTGCAAAGGATGTTTGCAAGAAATAACAAGTAGTGCCGTTCAAAGTAATTCTGCCCACTATATTGCATCTTTGAGGTGGTGCACCGTGGCTGGGTGTGATTAACTTTGGTCTCAACTTATCTGAGTGAGGAACCTCATTTACCCTTGCCATATCTAGCAGATGCCAAGAGGCAAAAATGGTCTTGCTAGCAAATGTGCCTTTTTTTTAGATTTTTCACCATACTATTGGGTTTGAATGGAATGCAAACACCAGAGCCCGTGGCCGTCAACAGATGCTGCACCTGCAGGAGGCATCCGGAAACTGATAAAACTTTGGGGTGGAGAATAGAGCGCTGCAAGCGGGTGCGTCCTATTTCGATGTGCTTGAGCCTTGCCCAGCACAACCCAAGCGTCCACACTGCACCGGTGTTCTGCTGGAAGTTCCGTCACTGTTCGCATTTCATTCAAACCCGATAGGACAGTCACTGTGTTTAATTCCGATTTCCCATATTGCTTGCATGTGTTGCGAGATATGCAGTATTTTGGAGCAGATGCTTAGGTCTGTGCAGTCCACAGATCTTATGGTTGTTAGTCCCTGTCTCTGAATTAATTTGACATAAACAAATTCATGGCAAAGAGGTTCCGGGTGAGGATTCGCCACAGTCGGGTGCTTGTACGACTCATAGAGTATGCTGTTCGAAAACATGAATGTTAGCGGTGTGTATATAGCCACAACGCTTAGTAAAAGAAGTGTTTTTTTGGCTTGTTGCTACGAAAGGTGGACATATTCAGCCGGTGGTCAGGAATGAGGAACCGCTGATTGCTACTTGTGTTTTTTTCAAAAAAAGCTATGTCGGATTATTGGCTATTTTCATCACATGTTTTTGAACCCACTTTCACGGCTTCGTCTTTAGACGGCCAGGTGCTGTTAATATTTCATTCGCTTGAAATGGTCGGTGAGCGAACCTGCCTTCACAATGTTTTATTCTAGCCGATAGATGTCGTTGATTTTGCAGGTGTCACCAGTAATACACTAGGCTCTTTTAGATAATGCTACAACCTTGTGTACACATTTTAGGGGCCAGAGTTACGTCATGAAAGTAACCATCATGCACTGTGAGAACAAAATAAAATGGCTCCATCTTGTACAACAGAAGTTTATAACCATTCCATTGTAACAATTACCATCTTCTGACATAAATATTTACATTGGTCTGCAAAAAGAAATGTACTTCTTGTGATTGAAATATTATGTACATTAGAAGGAAAAACGAAACATTAAAGCCACGTCTTGGTGAACAAAAATAGATTTAAAATTAATAAATAAAAGAAAAGCTGCTAGGAGGCAGCTTAGTCCAGAGGCGGCGGAGTGGGGGCCTGCAGGGCAAAGGCAGGCATGGCTGCCGGGTGGCCGAGGTCATCAGGACCAGCAGCAGGAGCACCAGTGTCAGCTGCCGGATAGCCGAGGTTTGCTGGAATGGCAAAAGTTTCGAATGATGACCATTCCCACTACAGGTCACCCATATTGAATAATCGCAGAACATACTTCAGTTGGCAAATGGTCAGCTAGAACGAGAGGGACAAACACAGACAGAGATAAACAGAGACATACACACAGCGGTGTGTATGTCTCTGTTTCTCTCTGTCTGTGTTTGTCCCTCTCGTTCTAGCTGACCATTTACCTAAATTATGTACCAACTAGCTCAACTTCAACCTGTTATTCAGTTGGCGTTGTGTTTCAAGCCATCTACATATTCATAATGGAACAGCACAAATTTTACAAGGATAGAGGAAGGAACTGGACAGGACAACAACTGAAAGGTTTATTATTAGGAAATCAACCTTAAGTCTCGCATGCTCTGGGCTAGAATCTCAGGAGAACTAAAATATTGGCACTGTGAGTACACCATGCTCCTCGGAAGGGGAGACAGCAACTTCTATCACGATGACTAAATAAACGCTGGGAAATATCACTTAATTATGTTCCTTGAAAGCAGTTGTGAATATATATCTATATATATATATATATATATATATATATATATATATATATATATATATATATATATATATATATATATATATATATATATATATATATATATATAAGTAGAGTGAAAATTAAGAACGTTTAATGCTCCGAGGGTTATATATGCACTCTTTTGTTATGTGTGTACATATGTGTGCCCTGTTGAACTCTGACCTTTATGCAGAGCACCACCTGATGATTCTGGAACATATCATGGCATATATGACGTGTTTTTTTCTAATAACTCTTATTAAATCCTTCGGCCTGTCATAAGATGGCTGGGGGTGCCTTTTTTTACAAGTTTTGTAAATTATGCCATTGTATACTCTTCACTGTCCTCACACATACCAGAAACACTGAATTGACAGATGTTATCTTTTTTTTTCTTTTTCTTAACTATCATTGTAGTGACCAAACTACTACCTGGTCATAAAACGCTTCAAATGCATGCAGTGCCTGATGCGGCAGTCTTCTTGTCTTTGGTAATAAAGGAAAAGGCATGTGCACCAATACCAGTCATCAAACCGTCAAAAAATTTCATAGGGCATTAAGGAATTTGTCTTATACGGGTACCTGCTCAAGGGCAGCAAGCCTAGCCACGGCCAGCTCCACTAGTCGCTGCTGGCCTCTGATGAGTTGCTCGGCCACTGTGTCGACAGAATGCCGCTCTGCTCGGGGACACCGGGGGCGGGGGCGGGGGCGGCTGGGCGGCTGGCTCTGAGCTAAATACAAAGGCGATTGTGAACCAAGCTGGGAAGGACAATAAGAAAAGGCAGGAACTGCAGCTGGCAGCGACGAGTGTGCTATCACACCCCTTGGGCAGTCATTGTATTATGAAGACAGCAAACTGGTCCATATCGAAAGCGTATGCAGAAAAGACACAAGCTGCACTCGGAGCAATTTCTGTTTGCAAACAATGATAACGTAATAAGCCCCCCCCCCCCCCCCCCCTTCACTAACTACTACCTTTAGGGTATAGAGTGGTTTTGTGGACATATGTGCTGGACACCATTTTCCTCGTCTGCCTAAAGTCTCGCATTCGGACTGTTTCTGGATTTCCTTCGTATTTGTTAATAGAGGCAGGATATACGTGAACTAAAACTCAAATATCGACGCATACTGTAAGAGACACTTACCGGTGCCACTGGTTCCTGGGACTTCCCCAATACATACATTGCTGCCTGCCGCAGCTGGCGATGGTGCAGCCTGAAAGTGACGGGGTTCAGGTGAATCTCGCTATCATCGAGCAATATTGAAACAGTAGGAGAGACAAGAAAGTCAGTATGTTTAGCATTTCTAGAACCCTACAGAAATCTATATTCACATGCAAACTTGTGTAATTCACGTAAAGTGGCTGCAGCTGTTTTCCGAGGAGGCTTCTTGTACCTGAACACGCTCAGAGTGCCATTGTTCACTGTGTTACAACAGACACTGTAGTGATTTAACAATCTGTGCACTAACCATATTTATCACTGTCGACAACTGCTAAGAACAATTACAATCCCTGTGGTTGCACAGGTCATGAGAGGTGAAGACGAGTATAGCATGTGCTGCAAGTACATTTGGACCCCACAACTGAACAGAAACATCCAGATTAACACTCTAATCATGTCGGCATGTGCGACGAGGCCTCACTGTTTATTGAAAACTTTAAATGCAGCCTCTTTAAGTATAGTATTTATGCTGCCATATTTGCCAAATATAGTCGCGTGTTCTACCGAGTACTTCTTAGCAGCAGGCTGCAACTGCTACTTTCCTATCAAGTAGTCGGTAATCATCAGGTAAAAGGTTAATAGATAAACATTTGTCTAAAATTACCAAAGTGAGAAGCTGCAACTCGATAAAAGTTTCGGTTTCACAAAATGTGCAGACAATTAAATAATTTGTTCTGCAAAACATGTCTGAAAGTCTTGGGCAAAAACAAAAGAGCTCCTTACCTGTGGTCCCGGCACCGCCGGTGCCCCACAACCCTCCGCGGCATCGGGGCCGACAATGGAAATTATCCTCCCGGCCTCGCCAGGTACTGCGCCTCCGCCCGTCCCTCTGAAGGAAAACGTAGCG